AGGAAAAAAAAAAAAAAAAACAATAACCCAAATAAAAAGGTCCACAAATCGTGTCTTAAAATATGAAACATATTATTTTGTATATATGAAACATATATACATGCATGTTATCATACAAAGTTTAAGTTATACGGATGTTAGGACCACGTACGTAATCATTAGACCAAGGTACTATTTTCACATATATGTATACTTTTTTAAGAAAATGTCGTACCTAAACAAAAGTACGCAACAATATGAAATTTAATAGTATAAGTATACATTTCTGGGAGATTCTACGATTATAGAATCATTTCATCGGAGTTTGTAACCATTAGATCAACTATCCATGACGGTTACATGATGATCTAACTGTTACAAATCCCGTGGAATGGTTCCGTACAGGACTGTAACATTTTCTTGCATTTTTATTCATAGAATATGACAGGTCAGGCTCATGACTCGTCTAACGACTGAGTTCCGCCACACGATAATTTGTGGTTTATATGTGTAGCAACTGAAGATAAAATTTCAAAATTATTTTTTAAAAGCATTAATCCGTACATTTCAAATTATAGGAAATTAAATTATCAAAATGGAATTAAGATATAGTAATTGCTAATTAATGATTTGGTGACAATTCTAGCGTGAAACACGTTGTGGAACTGTGCGTGCTAGCTTCATCTACAATAATTCATCTGATGAGAAGCTGCCAATTCAATGCATCGCCGTGGGGCCCACCACCTCTCCCCCGGTCACAAACTCTTGCGTGTGACATTGACGGTCTAATGGTTAGTCGGATCGACCCGTCGTATTTTTCTAATAAAAAATGCATACCGGCAAATGTATAAATATCATATTTTTTTTTTATATATATTGTTATATAAAGTATATATGCAATCATTTGAAAATATTTATTGATTATCTATATCATACTTTCATTTTGTGTCATGTGTCACAATAATTTTTTTTTTTAGTCAGCCACAATATTCGGAGCTAATCTCCAACTAATTCGTTGGTCGACCCGAGTCACACGTCTGGCAGTGGTGAGTGAGTCTCATAACAAAAGTATTTTGCATTCACAAAGACTCGAACTCGAGATTGTGCTTAAGCGACATCAAATTGTGCTTACCACTTGCGCCAACTGGACAATAATTTCATTTTTCATTCATGTCCAACTCATCATTTCTCTCTCTCTCTCTCTCTTTGTTCGTCTATATAAAGCGCCACAATAGAAATTGAATTTCATTCACCACAACCCCCAAAATATTCAATTAAATAATATTAATAATTTTTTTTTTTAAAAAAAAAATAATAAACTTATTGGCTATGGCAAATCCAAAAGGCAGTAGCGAGTATTATTATAACACAATATTGTATTATAATGTTTTTGTTGTTAGTTTGTTAATATCATCAGCAAAAACTGGGTTTGCATACGTTTACGAATCCACTCCTTTCAACCGTACCGACTTTCCTCCTGGTTTTGTCTTTGGGGCTGCCTCTTCAGCTTTTCAAGTATATATAAATAAATAAAATAATTAACTATGTTTTTTTATTTAATTATAAATAATACATATATATATATATTATATAAATAAAATTATGTTTTTTTTTTAATTTTATTTTTATTATAATTTAGTATGAAGGAGCTGTATCTGAAGGAGGGAGAGGACCAAGCATATGGGATACTTACACACATCAATCACCAGGTATATATAAAACTTAATTGCATGCGCGAATTCTTGCGTGAGTCAGTCTGATCGTTAAACGGATCGTCATACTTTTATAACAAAAATATATATATTTATAATATGAAATAAGATATCTTAATATTGTTTTTAAAGTATAGTGTTTGACTTTCTATATATGGATATTTATTGAAAAATAAAAATAAAAAATATTATGTGGATGTAATAAGTAGTCCACGAACTTGTCATAATTGAAAGCAATTGATCACCAAATGTGGAAAAAATACTCTGCGTGTGTCTAATAATGTGTCGTTTTAGTTCCAAAATAGAATTACAGCTTAAATCCACTAATTTTATTTAGATATTTTTTTTATTAATATTTCATATATTGATGTTGACGGAGAATTTTATAAAAGAAAAATTAAAAATTGTTGGATATTGATTGGCTGAGTTTAATATATATTTTATCTGTTAATTTCTTTAAAATAAGAATATTTCCTTATATGTGTATATATATATATATTTAAATATTTGAAGCCAATGTAATAAATAGGCTCTCCTAAAACTTAAAAAATTACTCCCTCCTATTCATTATAAATGTCGTTTTGACTTTTTTGATTCATCCATTTTGTTATGTATCTAGACATATTAATGTCTAGATACATAATAAAATGGATGAATCACAAAAGTCAAAACGACATTTAAAAAGAATAGGAGGTAGTAGTATCTACACATTATTTATTACAATTTATGTCTATATATATATATATATAAAAAAAAAAAAAATGCAGCACCGATACCAGATGGGAGCAATGCTGACGTGGCCAATGACTTTTACCATCGGTATAAGGTAATTTCATATTATTTATCAATCAATTATTTCCTCAAGTTGAATTAATCCCTCATTAACTAAATAAAATCATCTTACATGTACTATCATTTAAAATAAAACTAAAAAAATGTACCGAAAAAAAAAAAATAAAGAAACTAAAAATGCAATTTTACTAATTTCAAAGTTTAAATAAATATATATACTTTTATTATATTTAATAATATATATAAATTTATGATGCTGCGAAAATATCATCAGTGTATAACAATTATTTTAGCATTCAAGTTTCATTGACTGGTAGCTGAAATTGACCATTAATCAATTGCACGCTGTGGGGCCACGTAGGATAAGCGCAGGCCCTACCGTAGCCTGACAACTGTCTACCTTTTCCACGTTCACGTGGCCCCCACCATGGACTGAGTGTTGTCTTTATTTCATTTTATTTAATCATAAAGATATAAAAACATTACTTTAATTAATTTGATTGGTGGAAATTTTTAATTAATATGACAGGAAGATGTGCAGCTGCTCAAGTATATAGGACTCGATGCCTTCAGATTGTCCATCTCTTGGCCTCGAATATTACCTCGTAATATTATTATGTCAATTAAAATGTCATAATTTTATTATTTTTATTTTAATTTTATTTTGGAAGTGTATATGAATTTAGACTAGTGTGCTTTATTATGATATTCAAAAATTCTATGGAGCCATCGAATGGTTTTCTTATGTGATCGTCCACCACTTAATATATTGACACATGTCCAAAATATATTTATTGTAGGACACGTGTCAATAATGTATTAGTGAATAAGTGTAGATGACTCTATAAGTCGAGTCATCCGATGACTCTATAGCAAAACTGATATGTATATATGCATTTGATTTTTTCAGATGGAAAGTTGAGTAGAGGAGTGAACAAAGAAGGGATTGACTTTTACAACGAAGTCATCAATGAGCTTCTTGCAAATGGTACCATTAATATCTCACAAATTTGTCATAATCTTACTCTTTCACACTAACATATTTTTCATCACAATTGTATCTTTTGTACCATGTCAACAAATAAAAATGCATAGGCATAACACCATTTGTGACACTATTTCATTGGGACCTCCCACAAACCCTAGAAGATGAGTACAAAGGCTTTCTAAGCCCTCTCCTTGTGTAAGTCATATATCATTGAATAATCATTACAAAGGAACACAAAAATAAATAAAGAATTAAAAAAAAAAAAAATTGACGATATATGGTTCATATAATGTGAATACAGAGACGACTTCAGAGACTTCTCGGATCTTTGCTTTAAGGAATTCGGAGATCGTGTAAAGCACTGGATCACATTTAACGAGCCTTTTACCTTCACAAACGGAGGGTACGATGGGGAATTCCTCGGTTCACTTGCTCCGGGAAGGTGCTCGTCTTGCCACCAAGGGGACTCGGCCACCGAGCCCTACTTTGTTGCTCATCATCTTCTCCTTTGCCATGCTGCAGTTGTTAAATTGTATAGGGAGAAATATAAGGTCATTTTTAATTAATTAGCTATATTAATTAGTTTTTCTCTATATAAATTAAAACTAATTTAACATATATATGAGTACATGTTAATTCCTAATTATTAATAACGTATGTTTTTTTTCATGATTTTTTACAGGCAACTCAAAAGGGAGAAATAGGGATAACATTGGTGACCCATTGGTTTGTGCCATATTCGAATAAAACACTTGATGTCAAGGCAGCCCAACGTGCTCTTGATTTTGTCTATGGATGGTAAGTAATTAACTATATTAGAAATTGGAAACCAAGCTAATTAAATAATTTCATTTTTCAATATTAGAATGGTAGTCATAATTATAATTGATTCAATTTTACAAATTTTCGTGTCGAACAGTCTAACCGTTAGACTGATCGATCTGTCGTCAAACCAAGCTAATTAAATAATTTCATTTTTTTTCAATATTAGAATTGTACTCATAATTATGGATTCAATTTTTACAAATTTTTGTGTCGGACAGTCTAACCGTTAGACTGACCGATTTGTCGTCAAATACAGAGAAACAATATATTTATTTATGTGCAGGTTTATTCATCCAGTGGTATATGGGAGTTATCCAAGAAGCATGCAATATCTAGTGAGAGATAGACTGCCAAAATTCACTGAAGAGCAAAGTGCAATGCTAAAGGGGTCATATGATTTTCTGGGACTTAATTACTATACTGGGAATTATGCTGCTCATGTTTTCTCTCATGGTGGAAATATTAGCAGCACAAAGGACAGCAGGACTCGTCTCACAAGTATTTTAATTAATTTTAAGTATATTTAAATTTAGTATATAAATAAATTTAAATGTCACTTTTTTATTAATTTTTTAATTACTGAAGTTGTGACCACATAATAACTTTATATTTATTCTTATTTGATTATTGGGCAGCTGATATCAATGGTGTACCTATTGGCACTCCAGTAAGTCTCATCAAACACATTTCTTTTTTTAACAATAAAATAAAATAAATTATTTATTAATTTGCATTTTTACTGAATTAACAAAAACAAAGTATTATATTGGTGTGATATATAATTAACAAATTAATTAATTTTTCAGACTGGGGTTCCAATTTTCTATGTCTACCCCAAAGGGCTTCATGATCTTCTGGTCTACACCAAGAAGTACTACAACAATCCTCCCATTTACATTACAGAAGCTGGTAATTAAATACCTTCCAAATAAATGACACACTCTAGCTAATTAAATATATATAATTCACATATATAATTAGCACAAAATCAATAATTTAGTAAATTGCTATTTATTTATTGTTTGTCTGTTTGTTATAATTTTAGGCATGGGTGACCAAAAGAAAGAAAGCACACGAGACAACGTTAACGATCCACAAAGGGTTGATTTCTACAATCGTCATCTTCATGCAGTTCGTGACGCCATTACGTAAGCACAATTTTTTGTCTCTTACCCACAATTTTTCTATTCGAGAAGGTTAGGCAAATCGACTCGTCAATTCAGTTTATGATACTTTTATCTCTGATGTTTTCTGAAGTATGAGTTTGAGAATGAGACTAAGGACATTTGTAATCAATATAAAACATGTGATTGTCTAAACAATTTTGATCACTTAGACATGTTTATTAGATTCCCATTCACATAAAAAAAAAATAAATCATACTTATTACAATTTATTAATGAATTTGTGATTGTAGGGAGGGTGTGAATGTGAAGGGTTTCGTGGCATGGTCGTTTTTGGACAACTTTGAATGGGGATCGGGCTACAGCCAACTGTTTGGGCTTTGCTACGTGGATCGCCAAAATGGGCTCAAAAGGATTCCCAAAAAATCAGCTATTTGGTTCAAGGACTGTCTCAAAAAGAATTAGACTTGCCAACTTGTATCGGCCCAAAGGCATCTCTATGAGAGTAATAATCTTAAAATGTTGTATGGATCTTATTTAATTTTTTTCCTTCAGTAAACTTTGTACCGTCAGTGAACGGTATTGGCCTATTTGATATTTATCATGTTTTCTTCATTTTATCTTTCTTTTTGCATGAAGAATTATGACACTTTTATCAATAATTTGTTTGACCAAAAAAAAAAAAAAAAAAAAACAATGCATTAATCAAACTCAAATTGAAACATACCATAGACAAGCAAATGGTAGTAGCATCATGAAAAATGTTAAACTGTCTGAACAAATGTCAATTACTAAGAACACAAAGGATTGCCCATAATAAAAATAATAAGTTTTAAAGCTCTGCATATCCATATGCATTATTCCACTAGCTTAGAATAATAAACAATCAGGGGATTTCAGCTCACTACATAACAATAGCCGGAGATGGTTGGTCTTTGGCAGTCAGGTAATCATCGGGAAGGGTCAAAAGTGGGGCATCACCCGACAATCCATTCAGAGCCAAAGCTAAGGAATAACCCAACGCACGAGCAACTGGCACAGCAACTGCATTCCCTACTTGAATGTATCTGAGAAAAATGTGATGTTTGAAACAGTTAAGAGGCTAAGTATTTGGGTAAAAAACAAAAGTATTTGGTTTGTAATGTGAAAAATGTATAAACAATAATGATTAGAGGCTAAGTATTTGGATTGCAATGTGAATAATGTATATACAATAATGTTTAGAAGCTAAAGTATTAGGGTTGAAAGGTGAAAAATGAAGAAACAATAATGTTTACCTTTCCTTTACCGGGCCAAGCAGACGGTAGTAGTCTGGAAAGCCTTGCAGCCTAGCATTCTCCCGAACGCTAAGGACCCGGTTTTGAAGGGGATGCAGAATTGCCTATACCAATTTTGAAAATAACAGAAGATTTCAAAGCACAAACAAAAGATATCAATAAAAATATGCCTGTACAAAAACTCATTTGCTCCAGTTAAATTCAATTTATTAGTAATAAACTGTTACCTGATTATGAGGTTCAGCACGAGTAACAACAGTTGGCACAGTCTCATCCCACCACAAACGCCCAAATGGCCTGCGTGAATAGCCGAATAAGTTGGTGAAAACGAAGAAAAAAATATTATTGTAGTATAACTATATCATCAAACTTAATCAAAATAGCATACTTTAAGGATTTTCCTCCCACAAAACTCATGGCATAATCAGGGACCTGCCAACAAAATTATAACGATAAATGAAATTTCTATTCAAGGAACATACAAATATATTTATCAGAAATGTGTATAACTTAAAGTAAAATGTGCAATGAATCCTCACCAGAGGCTTCCCAGAAGATACAGTTTTCCTTTCAACAGCCGGGTCCCACTCAACCTTGTTGTCTTCTGGACGTACACGAACACCAGGTAAATCTCTGAAATTTGCACCCTGAAACAAGAAAACAAAGCAAGATCGAGAAAAAGAAAATTAAAAAGAAAAATATAACAAAGTTATAGGGATTCGTTGCAACGCTTTTATGCTCGATTAAGTAAAGAATCAATCATACCTTCTTCTTAGGTATTTGACAAACACGCTCATAGTCATCCTGATTAAGTTGAAGAGGGCGGTGGTCAAACAAATTATGTTCTGAGTGTTCAGTGTTGAGTGCCATACTGCCAGGCATTTCTGTATCAATTAATGAACAACAACAACAACATAGCCTTTTAGTCCCAAGCAATATATCAATTAATGAACAATTGATCAAACAAGATGATAGCAAAGATATACGTAAACAGGTTAAAAATTAACCAAACTTAAACTTTTCTGTGCATCAGATTCAGAAATGACACCGTAATTACATCGTAGCATAGAGGATTTTGAAAAAAATTGTTCATCCAATTAAAGGCAGCAATAATTTTCACTGAGTAATCAGCATACTTCAAGTGGTGACAATGGAAATGAGAATATTTAGATTTAAAAAGCCAAGGTTAGTCAGATGCCAATAGGGGCAAATAGTTACTTTGCAGTTTCAGTTTTGCAACCAGAAAAATAAATAAATAAATAAATAAATAAATAAATAAATAAAATAAAAATAAAAATCTCTGCCATAACTAAAAGAAACAATAACTCACCATCCCTCCTTAATCTAATAAACCGCTGGAATTCCGATTGGGGCTCCGAGCCATAAGGCATCTCATCACGTTTTTCATCGTTCTCAATCTATTTCGAAAGGAGTTGAACAATAAAAATGTAGTAAACAATCTACATGAAACAGACAATGTAAGTGTACGAGAAACTCAAGAATTGTTTGTACCTTAGGGAGGTCCGATATTGCATCACCAAGGTAAAGTCTTTGCTTAAGACTATTAACTTCTTGTTCTTTCTCATAGGCAACCGTGTTTCCCTACAACACACAATGTTCATACCAAGCTAACAAAACATACAGAAAAGACCTAAAGGCAAGAGATTAGCATCCCTTACCTCAAATTCTCTCGGGACCACACCTCTGTTTACAACATTATGTGTAGGCAAAGGGTACTGGGGTAGCCTCTGTATTGGAAAATACAAGGGAAAGAACATGATAACAGATTTGAAACATGCTTGTTCATTGTCAAGTAACAATGCATGAGAGTACTTACTATGAACAAAGAAAATCAAATTACCTCAGTTGGAAGTGCACCCCACATAAACATACGCATGCGAAACTGGGCCAGCCCATAAGCACCGGCAGCCATCATACCCATCCGTGCCTGATAATCCATAGCAACGAGGCGGCCAAGTGCATAACGGAAAAGATAACCGGTACAAAATTTGAGGATGTCAACAACATTCTCCATCAACACAAACTTAGGCCTCAGATAGTCAACAATATCCATGAAAACAATTAGCTGTTTATTTTTAGGGTCCTCGAGAGGTGATGTTGTGTTCCTGAATCTGTTGAAGCCACTTATGCCTTGGCACGGAGGTCCACCACATATCACATCAACAGTACCCTACATGACATGAAGGAAAATAACTATTATTATGAATCACAGAATATCAAATTTATTTTGTTGGTGAAAAGGTATCTAAAGCTCACAGGTAAAGGCAATATCTTGGACTGATGACCAGCTGTTACAAATCCTTTCACCTTTTCTGGACAGTCACTAGTGAGTAAAAGTTCATCAAAAACTGTTAGAAACATTTTTAAAAAAAAAAAAAAACTTTGCAATATTACATGGCTGCAATAAAAGTAGATCTTCGGTTTTTGTACCTCAAATTCTCCAAAGGTTCCCAAGTATCTTCTTCTGGGCCATATCCTTTCCAGCGGATCTATATATATATAGTATATAATGTATTAGACATAAAAAAATTATTATAACAAAGTGCAATTGTCAATTAGTTTGTCAGAAATAATCCGAAGGTGCACTAAGCAACAAGGTCTTTCGGTGCTCATGAACAAAAAAATGAAGGGAAACATGTACCCTAACATTAAAAATGTCAAAGTGGAACACTTTTGATAGCTAATTTTAGAAGATAACTGCAGGTATGATAACAGTGCCACCCCGTTTCTTAATTACCAGTGCCACGTGGTAATTGTCAAACTTCCTTTATGTAATGAAATAATTAAAAAAACTACGCCAGAACAATTCAGTTCCGTTAAAAAAGCATAATAAATACTGGATACATGAGGGTCATAAATAAGCTCACTCTGTTACCTTGAAGTAAAGTTGACGCTTCTGTTGGTTACCAGGAGTTCCATAACAAATTGCGAGAATCTTCTCAACTTCATATACTTCAGAATCATCATCACCACCATCATCATCATCATCTTCACCAACTTTCTCCACATTAGAATTTTCATCATCACCATTCAAGTCATTGTTCCCTGTTGATACATACTTATCACAGAGCTTTTCCCATTCCTTAAGCAGGGCCAAGAAATCCTCAGCTGATTCATTTCTCACCTATTACAAATATTGAACATGATTTATAAACCAGTGGGACGAAGTGAAGGTCAATTTCAACCTAATATAGATAAGCACCTCAGTTTCAGGATGATTCAACTTGAGGCTTTTGCAGGCATACGGGTTGATATCAACTGCCCATTTCTGCAAAATACATTAAATGAACAGAGTCTTTCAGGATTCTGCATTGAATAACAAGAGGGTGCATTAAGCTGGTAAAAAAGATTTTCATACTGCAGACAATGAATAGAAGGAGAGTTCGTGGTTCACATGATGGCAAAATAAATAGAACTTACAGTCACAAGTTTAACACCATTGCTATTTGCACCAAGGCAAAGTCCTGTTGACATGGCACCACATCCAGAGTATAGATCAAGCATTGTTTTCTCACCACGATGATCTTCTGATTCACAAGATCCAACAGGTAAATCATCAGCATCACTGGAGATGGTAGAACCAGATTCATTGCTGACGGTAGTAGCATCTGCAACCAAGGAAATCAGTTGAATAAAATATCCAAGCCATATTGAGTTGTGGAGAATTTAACAAGCAAGAACCACAAAGCATAATTAAGAACACAGAGATGGTAGGCTTCATACTAGTACCTGAAGGCAGGCTTATAAAAGAAGTATATGGAATCAAATACTTCTTATCAACATAATAATCATATGTTGACCTCAGCTTCTCCGCGTTACATTCAGCCTGTAACCATGCAGGCACGAAAATTATATGACCACCTCTAATGCTAAAATATGCGAGAAATGGTTCAATGTATTCAGACATGCCTCAGGAGACAATTTTATAATTTTAAGCTTCTTCACCAGACAGTCAAGAGGATTGTCATCCTTTACTTCAGAAATGAATATACGCTTCTTGTCGATGAGGTCGCCACAGGTTTCCATATGCTAACAAAGAAATGAAAAAACCAAAAAAAAAAAAGAAAATCAGGACGATTAAATATTTTAAAATATAGTGAAAAGGGAACAAGAATTTTCTTGAAGTCTCACCGTGTCAGAAGCCCTGTAATACCACTGGGCAGTGAAATTTTGTGAACCATCAACTGCTTCAAAGAATTCAATAATCTTACATATGTAATCTTCCTTCCCTTCGCCAGCCTGAAGCACAGCATAGTTTTGTAATTCACAATATTTAGCATTGTGTAAAAAATAAATAAAACCATTAAAAAAAATAAAATCTGACGAAGCTCATATATGCAGATGGAAAAGCATTATAATCAATGGTAGCAATCTTGATTGGACATTAAGTTGATAAGAGACCAAAGAAGCACAAGGCACTGTTACAATATTTGGGAAGAGAAACAACACTTGAAAGAACCAAATGAAACTCCTACCTTTGCTTGAGCATCATCGTCCAGGCAGTAAATCTGCCCATCAACTTCTGCTTGAGAAAAATGACGTCTGGCCTGCAAATCATCCTGTAATAATCCAATAAGATACAAAGTTCAGATAATTCACCTGCTTTTAATTAAAGTTTCAACAATCCAATAGTAAACATTCTTAATTAAAAAAAAAAAAACCTTCATTTACGATTCATTCATTATAACAAAGGTGTGCAAGCGATCAAAGGAGTATTCATTCAATTTGTAATAACTATACTTCATAGCACTTTAATTCTAGCTCACACAAGAAAAATGAATATGACAAGGGATGAGCATAGGAAAGAAACACAATAGCATGCCCACAACATATTCCATACCAAAAAATACAGAATACATGTCCATGAGTACCTTGTCAGGTTTGACAACCACAAACAAATCGTATACTTAATAGTTACAACTGAGATAATAAAATATTAGACCTGAGGTCGATCTCCTAATACTTAAATTCAGCAAATTTAGACAGTAAATATTCTCCTAATAAGATATTTCGACTTTGACTTATAAACTCATCGAATTTAGAGACAGTAAATCATTCTTTTCTAAAAATCCAAACAGAAGATAAGGGTGTGACTGGATTTATAATATTCCAATTAGAAGATGTAGAGGAAAATTTTCACCAATAACCAAATTTGACTTTTTTTAGATCAATCATTTCAATCATTTTTGAAACAAACACAATTCTTTGACCAAATATTATATATTTAACTATCAATTATGAATTATCTACAATCATTATTTGATTATTTCATTTAAAATCAATTATTTATTTCATATGAAGCACATATACTAAGACAGGAAAAAAATGCTAATAAAAATACAATGCACTCCCAAAGTATTTCAACTTGAGATATGTGCAACTTTAATATAATTGAAATAGAAAAGTACAATGAATGCAACTATTTTGGTCTATCAAAGACAACCACGAACAAAAGCTTCGTACAAGATTCTATAAATAGATAGTATGAATAAAGCCCAAAGAAATTATGCAGCTATCACATCATCATTTTCATGATCATTTCACTAATTTCGTGAACAAAACAATCCCGTGAGACACACACCATATTAAGGAAGAAGGACATTCAGCAAATTTTACAATAATATGACATGCATTCAAAGTAAATACTCCTAAATATACATAAACTCCAGCACATTAGCAAGAAGAAGATAAAGATCAGCTTTTTAACTACTTTCACATCAAATTCCTGACTTGAAATACAAATTGTTGTAATTCAAGTATCACAGCTACCTCAGTGTCCACACACATCCACACTCGGGCAGCTCATTGAACAGCCCCGTACATTCAAATTTAGCCAAACAACGTGTTCAGAAACCATTTTCAAAAAATACCCATACCAATATCTACTATAAAACAACTAATTAAAAGCATTTTTGCGAGTATGCATGTGATACATAGATAGAGAGAGAGATAGAGAGCAAGGGGGAAAGAGAATCTCACATCCTCATCCATCGCCTTCGAGCTCTTATAACGGTGGGGCCACCGAGCCTTAGCCTCATCCTTCGGAACCGGTTCGCCCAAAAACCGGACCTCACCCTCCGCTGCTTCATTTCTAACAACCCTCCGAACCGGAATCGCGGACTCCTCCGCTGCCCCATCCTCCAACTCCCCACCAGATCCGGACTCGCCCTCAACCTCTCCGCCGCCGAAATCTTCCTCCGCCACAAACTCATCCTCCTCGTAATCCCCTGCGGACTCCAACGGGATACGCTTTTTCATCCGACGGCTGTCCTCCGCTGCCGCCGGAGCCTCGCCCTTGGCCGCCGATCTGGTCTTCCTCTTTCTCCCCATGGCCGATGGACCGAAGATGCGTTACGTGGGGTGCTCTTGGTCTTCGCCGACGAGGAGTGTTGGGGGAGTGGTGTGGACTACTGTGGTGGAAGAGAGAGAAAGTGTAGCGGGGTTTGACTGTAGAAGAAAGATAGGGTTTGTGGGGGCTTTTTTAAAGGGAGTCATAAATGGTTTGAATTTTTTTGAATGCCTTTTTTTGGCGGGCGAATGGAATTTTTGGGGTCGTATTGAAGTGTATTGAATTGTGGCCTTTGAAGTCCGCGTGTAGTGTTTTTTTTTATTTTTTTTTTTACTTTTTA